GCCATTTGCAAGTTGCAACCAAATCTCAGCCATAGCAACATACGAGACAAGGTGCAAACATGGGAAGTTCCATGTATTTCATGGTTTTATATGTAATCGGTTCAATTCAAATCACTGGAAGCAAAGAAAGCAAAATCTGCCTCCCGAAAAATCAAGCAGCCTTTTTCGCATTTGGAGCCTCAGTATTTGACGTCGGAAGCAATAACTACACCAACACAACCACTTCTGGTCAGGCAAACTTCGAACCATAGGGCGAAACTTTCGTCAAGTATCCTACCCTAAGATTTTTCGATGGACGTGTCATCCCAGATTTCATTGGTACACGTGGCTGATAATCTCAATATATACGCTCTAGAACTATCTGCTTTATTCAATAATACATTCATTTTGATGCTTTGTCAAGTTTTTTTAGTTTCATTTTGTTGTGGATGCGGCTGAATATGCCAAGTAACTGCCGTCAGTTCCATTTTGATGATTATATCTTTGGGGCTAATTTTGCTTCAGCAGGATCTGGAGCTCTGGTTGAAACTCGTCAAGGATCTGTATGTCATTAATTAATCTCATTATATTGTCCTGTGCTGCAGAGTATTGTGATGATTGAGAAGCCTTTAAAGATTATTTTCTCATACTTAGGTGATAGACCTAAAAACTCAGGCAAGTTACTTCAAACAAGTTAGCAAGCTATTGAAGCAGAAACTAAGAGATGAAAAAGCCAAGGCATTTCTAGCGCGCAAGAGCTGTCTACATTATTAACGTTGGAGGCAATGATTATGCTGACATTTTATTCAGAAACTCAAGCAATGCTGTTCTTCCAGACCCTCAAGAATTCGTTGAGGCTGTGATTGGCAACATTTCAAGCGTCATCCAGGTATGCAAAAGATATTCCAACTTATTCTCTTTCAACAGCTATGCACAAACGTATGTTACGATAACGTTAATATTCATGCAGGAAATTTACGAGGAAGGTGGAAGAAAATTTGGGTTTTTTAATATGGGTCCTATAAATTGCTTTCCAATACTAAGGATGCTTGAAAATGGAACTAGCATAGATGCGTGCGAGGAAGAAGAAGGTTCAGCAATTGCAAGATTACACAGAAGAGCTCTTCCCACAATGCTTCAGAAGCTGGAGAAACAACTTGAGAGATTCAAATACTTGATCATTGACTTTTACGGTGCCCTCGTTGAAGTAATGAAATACCTTCCAAATACGGTACGTGCTCTAGTTCTTCCTTTTTTTAAAAAAAAAATTCATCACTTAGTATCCTAAAAAAGCCTGGGTTGCTCCCAAAAAAAAAAAATTATAACATGCACTGTTACTTTAAAAAAAATTAAATATCTATGCACTTGTTAAGTGAGGGGTGAAGGGAAAGCTCATCCCAGAGGCCAGAACAAGCATTACTCTCATCAGTATTCATTCTTTTCTCCTTCTCTTTCTCTCTCTATGGTGCATGTGTTGTGCATCAAAGAAAGGACTCTGGTAGTCCTCTCTAGCATGAATAGTCGAATAGATTCTACAATATCCGAATATGGTAACACTCTTACTTGCCTCATTTTTCAAACTATTATTTTATTTATAATATCCTTCATTGATATCTGAGCCAAATTATTTTTAGAGAATATGAGTTTGATTATGTGGATTGGCCTGAATAACCGGTAATAAAGGTCGAGATGGGCTAAAAAAAATTAACTCAAATAAAAATAGGTTTTTTTTAGCCCGGAACATATAATTAGTGAATTATATGGGTTAATATTGATGGGTCAAGGTTGGCCCATTTAACGCATATTATTTTTTAAAAAAATTTAAAAATGAAAAATTTTTATGAATATAAATCATATTAGGCATGATTTACTTAGCTGTATCAATTTATATATCTTGCACAAACATTATAAAACAATAATTTGGTACATTTATAGTGAATTATGAAGAAATATTAAATTAAAACTTATTATTTAAATGTATTTTTAAAAAAATTATAAAAATAAATTTAAAAAAGAGTTGGTGGGTTGGCCCATTTAGCCTGCCAATCCTCAAGGGTTGAATTGAAATATTTTTAATATATATAAAAACAGGTTGAACCTAACCCAACTCATTTTTCTCTCAACCCATATGGGCCGGATTTTCACCTCTATTATTTTTAAGATTGAGATTGTGTGTTCATATTTTTATTACCATGTTTTTTCCCCCAAACGTACAAGTGTAAATAATGGCTCTAAATTTTTCTCCCAATGAAGGATGTTATATATAAAATAATAATATGAAAAATGAGTCTGCCAAGTCAGAATCTTATCAAATCCAAGATTTGCAAAGTGGGTCCGTCTTCGGTGCTCAACAAGTTGTTGAGCACCGAGGTGCTCATCCATAAAAAAAAAATTTGGGTCATTCAGAATAAATCTGAATGGCCCAAATTTTTTTAATTTAAATTTAAATTTATTAAAATAAAAATTTATAATTTTTTTATAAATAGATTCACCATCAATTTGAATAGTTTTGATTTAATTTAAATAATTTAATTTAATATTATAACTTTTTAAATTGACTATCTACATCTATTCTGAACAGTTCAAATTTAAAATTTTTATTTTTTTATTTTCATGAATATAATATTTAAAAATAAAATATATATAATATTTTAATTATAAATTTTAAAAAATGTTTTTAAAAAAATTACAAATCAAAAATTTAAAATTAAACTGTATAGAATACATCTAGATAGTCAAAATATAAGAATATAAAAATTTTAATATTAAATTAGACACTTTAAGTTAAATATAGACTAGATTAGTCAAAAAAATTTATTAAATCTTTTTTATAAATTTTTATTTTTAAAAATATAAAATAAAAATATTAAATTATTTTTTTTAAATCTGGACCATTAAAATTAAAAATCTAATGGTCTAGATTGCATCACTCTGATGAGCACCCAAGATGATTCCTTGCAAAGTCAGTTGACGACCCACGCACACCGTAGAGATAAACCGCGGGAGTCAGGGGGAGAAGAATGAATTAGAGGAGAGTGTGTGTGTGTGTGACTGTGTATTATATTCTCCTTCTACGGACAGCTAGCTAGAATAATATTCTCCTTATGATTTATTTTATATATATATATATATATATTTATTTATTTATTGCTTTCCAAGAGGAACATCAACCTCTCTCGATCGCCAAAAAAAAAAACTAACATTCATTGCTTAGATATATATTAGATGGTTGTTAAGAAATGGAAAGAGTCAATTTGAATTCGTTAGAGCTTATTTATATTATATCACACATTTCAGTCGTAAAAGCAAAGCATATTAGGTGACAACACCAAACAGACTAATTTGTATTCATAAAAGAAATTAAAGTTGGAATGGCCGGGGCGGCTCTGAAAAAGTAAAAGTTCTCTGCATTAGCCATTTACTGAATATATAACATGGTTATATTTATTGGCGAAATTTTGAAAATTGGAGAATTTTCCCCCTTAATGTTGGTGCCCAACGTATAAGCCTAATATAATCACCATTTTCTCCATTAATCATCAATATAAATAGCACATAGAAGATACAGTTAGGAAAGTAGGACACTATTTACATATATATTGAGAGCAATACTGCTCATCTCAACTAAAAATAGTGTAGCTTTATAGCTTATTCATATTTGTTATAATGTTCGAAAAAGCAACTACATCACCAACATTTCTATTCAAGCAAGCTTCCCTCCATATATGGTTGAATCTTCTTTAGGAGTGGATTGGTTCTACAAATAATTGTATTTTGAAATCCTCCTTTCTGGTCTACTGCTTTTCGGTAAAGTCGTTGTGATGTATTTCAAAACCAATTCAAAAGGGGAGGCTTTGAAAAACATGCAAGTGCATACATTTACTTGATATATGTTATGCTCATGGCTGCATAAAGAACTAAACGATATTGAACTTTAGTCTAATCTAAAATTTAGTCTTTTTTATAAAAAGGAATGGATTAGATAATCTGTAGCCTGGTCTTGTCTAATGAAAATTTGAGAATTAACAGGATTAGACTGAATTCATAGGATTGAAAGACTGATGCTGTTAGTCAAGTACTCACTTAGCAATTTTTTTTTTACTTTTTTATCTATGAGAGGCAATAATCTATTTCAACCTAATAAATTCAATTAAGATAATGAGATCACTTATGATCATAATAAATTCAAAATAATTTTCAACAAAAAAAAATATTTCAATTACAATCTAAATGATTTAAATTTATAAATTCAACAAAAACAATATTCAACAAACTTCAACAACACTACATTACAACAACAATTTAAAAACATACTCAACAAATCTTCATGCAATCATCTCCTTAACGTAAATTACACTTGAAGCATTTGTCAAAAATAAATTCATTATAATTATATTAAATAAATTAATAGGATTGAATTAGACCAAGTGATTCAAATGTCCAATCTCCTGTCTCGTCCAATTCAAAGAAATAGTCTAATTTTTTTAGTCTTTTTAATCCTAAATGATCAACGTTTACAAGGACTGGACATGATAGGACCATCTTGAGTTGAATTGAGTCAAAAAGGAATAGAGGACTTTTGCACAGCCTTAGATATGCTCATATTTATTTTATTTATCTAGCAAAATTTGAAAATGGGACAATTCCCCGCCCCCACCTTATTGCTACTAACAGGTAATTGAAATTAACCACCATTATCTTCATTGATCATCGATATCGCACATAAAAGATATGAGGACACTATTCACAAAATGGGAATAATTTTTTAGACACAAATATCATTGTTCTAGAATGAAGTAGTAAAGGGTAAATTTGGAACATAAGGCCAGTTATTTCTCCCCAATAACCAAATTAATTATTTGAAACCTTCGATAATGTGGATTTGTCCGTCGTTATACCGTGTTCTAAATAATAGAGGTCTAAAGCAGGTACCTTAGAAAATTCATCAGATTTGAATAATGGGAAAACAAGCAACAAGGAAAATACAGCTCATTCATTGATATAAATATCAGAAGCATGCATCATCATAACTTAAGAGAGGATTGAGTGATTAGTTAGAATGGCTAGTATGAGGCTTATTTATGTGTATTTGATGGTGTTGTTTGTGAAAATCAGAAGCTGCTATGGGATGAGCAAGTGCTTATTGCCTGAGAAAAACGCAGGCTTGTACGTATTTGGAGATTCATTGTTTGATGCAGGAATGAATAACTACATCAACACCACCTCTGATTATCAGTCAAACTTCCCTCCTTACGGTCAAACCTTCTTCCACTACCCAAGTGGCAGAGCCTCTGATGGTCGTGTCATTCCTGATTTTATCGGTACATGATTCACCACCCAATCTATTCAATAGTGTTTTCGTACTAGTGCTTTTAAATTCTACCTCGTAGAATATAGAGTAGGCATGAGCCAAATGATAGAAGTGCCACGTTAAATAAAATTGAGCTTAAATAGTATTCATGAAAGATATATATTTTGGAATTAAGATGTGTCATTGTCTTTTTGTTGTAGCTGAACATGCCAAGTTGCCACTGATTTTTCCATACATGCATCCTGATGCTGAGCAATACTATACGTACGGCGTAAATTTTGCATCTGGAGGGTCCGGTGCTCTCGTTGAAACTGCCCAAGGACTTGTAAGACCCATTTATTATTTTAGTTTTCCACTCAGATTCTGTTCTGCTAAAAATCTTTGTTATCGTTGTTTCTGCTGAAGTTTAACACTACTAACGTACAAGATCCTTGCGTTTTGTTATTTTGCAGGTGGTAGACCTGCATACACAGGTGAGTTATTACAAGAATGTAAGAAATGTTCTGAGGAAGAAAATGGGGAATGAAGAAGCCAAAACCTTCTTGTCCGGATCTGTGCACCTATTCAGCGTTGGATCCAATGACTATGGAGCACGTTTCGTCACAAAATCCAGTGTTCTTCTCCGTTATTCTAAACAGCAGTTCGTAGATATTGTGATTGGCAACCTCACAAATGCGATCAAAGTATGTGTGGTTGTGTGTGTGAATGTCCGAGTTTCTTACTTTCTTCTCTGTCGGCACTGCCCATTTGGTTTGTTCCGAAATCTAAAATTTAATTTAACGTTGCTCTACAGGAAATTTACAACCTGGGAGGAAGGAAGTTTGCGTTTGTGAATATAGGTCCAATAGGATGCACTCCGGTGATCAGGTATTCCGTAAAAGGGAATAAATGTAACGAAGACATGACAGAATCTGCAAGGCTACACAACGTTGTACTTCCAAGAATGCTCCAGAAACTTGAGAAAAAGCTCGCGGGGTTCAAATACTCAGTCTTCGATTTCTACACCTCAGCTTCTCAATTAATGAAACACCCTTCCAAATATGGTACGTGTCTTGAAACTCTTATTTCCAACAGTAGGTTTTTTGTTGATGAAATTGGATTAGGAGAGAGCTACTAAGCAGAGTGTTAACAAAGAAAAACAGAGGAGGATCCCCCTGTTTCAGTTTCAGGGTTGAATTCTGGGGAGCGGAAGGTTCTTCTTCTTCTCCTATTTTTTAATGAATGAGTTGATGAATTGGTTGAATTTTGAGGAGCAGGATTCAAAGAAGGACAAGTGGCGTGCTGTGGAGGAGGAGCATACAGGGGAGATGACAGCTGTGGAGGAAGAAGAGGAACAAGAGAGTATGAGTTATGTGAGAATGTGAATGAATACGTGTTCTTCGACTCTCCGCATCTCACTGACAAGGCCAATCACCATATCTCCAATCTCATGTGGTCCTCCAATCTCACCTTCATTCAGCCTTACAATTTGAAGCAACTCTTCCAACTTTAATTTCTCCGTTGATTCATTATTTAGTAATAAATGTTTGCTTCCCATGTTTGAGATGAAGCTGCTTGTTGTAATAAAAAATTTATAGTTAGTTAAATCATGTTTATATTTTTTTCCTTCCCAGCTAATACGGATTTTAGGCTTTTAGCCCTCTAAGTTGGTCAAAGTTAATAATGAATTATAGTTAGTCAACGTCAGCACTAGTGAGACGGCTCTCAGGAAAACAAAAATCAGTGTTTCCGGGATTGTCATGGTTCTTCTATTTAACCGCCTCCACTTGGCCAAAAATTAGCCTTCAACTCCCTGTCAGATTTTTCCAATCCAACATGCAGTAATCCAGTCGACGGAGTGCATGGAAGTGCCGATTTTTTTTATTTATTTCATTATATAGTATCCTAAAAATTTGAAATATTATCACTTCCTATTTAGATTAATATAAATCCTGTTGTATGAAATTGTTATTACTAATGAAAGTTTTATAAATATTTTAAAAATATCTTTGATATATTTATTTAATACAACTATATCCCATTAAAGTCAAACTCAAAATTTTAAAATAAGCTAATTTAACTATTTCGACTAGTTGAATTAAACACTCCTCAATTAGAAGTGCAGTATTATGAGTAAGTTTTTCCCTTTATTTTTAATATAAGATAAATTTTTTAAATTTATTTTTTAGTATAAAACAAAGTTAGGGTAATTAATATTTTTTCCTATTTTATTTTTTATTTATTATCATTTTAATTCCTAAATAATTATTTATTATAGTTATTAATTGTAAAGAAAAATAAAATTAAAAAATTATATATTTTTAAAATAAATTTAATAAGCATTAAATTAATTTAGTTTTTCTAATAATATTAAAAATCAAAGGGAATTAATTAAAAAAATATTGAAGGGAGTAAATCAAAAAAGAGAGCTCATTCAAGAAAAATAAAACACAAAAGGTACAAGCACTGATTTGAAAGAAAACAAGACTATTTTATTAAATGAGGGAGAAGATGAAGTTTTAAGTGAACATTTGGTTTTCAGTTTACATTTAACAGAAATCTGTTTATTAGATCCAACTATGTGCTGAATTTAGCAAAAACACATCCTAAATATAATTTAATTGTACTTTCAAAAATTATCCAGATACTTAAATCTTATTTCACTTACTAGACCATGTGACGGCTTGATGGGGAACTCATAAGAGAAAAAAAAAAAAGGGAGAATGACGAGTAAAAAATTTATAAGAAAATTAACGTTAAATCAAGATTTCTAATACTCAAAACATAAGAGAAGGAGTTTTGAATTTGAAGACGTTAGCGTTGAAAAAAAATCTTTATTTAACATTAATATTTTACTGGGTCCTTTCTTGTCATTCTACCGATAAAAAATCTTTTCGAGTGAAGTTAAAAGAAGTGTGGGAAAAATCACGACTAAATACGCTTGGTTCAGAGCTCAGACTATAGCGCAGTCCTTACGCCTTCGCTATGTCATTGTCCATATTTTAACTTATTTGAGAAAACGTGTCTTGAAATCTGCTACATACTTGACTAGATGCATTATCTGACTATTATTATATTCATTTACGGCAACCCAAAGCCCGGGAAAGTAATAATACATATATATCAAATTCAGTGAGCTAAGTGGAACTATGGCAACGTTGAGGATGATGTTTGTGTATTGGATAGTGTTCCTGTATTGCATCCAAATCACAAACTGTTTTGGGAATCCATGCTTGTTGCGTGAGAAAGAAGCTGCCTTGTTTGTATTTGGAGATTCGCTATTCGACGCAGGAATCAATAACTATCTCAGCCCTTCTTTTCCGGCAAAGAAGGTCAACTATCCTCCCTATGGTCAAACCTTCTTCAACTACCCAACTGGCAGATTCTCTGATGGCCGTATTATTCCAGATTTCATTGGTACGCTCATTCATTATGAATCCTCTGCGATTATCACAAAATTGCAGTCATGGATATCGTTTATATCTCATACTTGTAATTGAAATTACTTGGATAGCAGCCGAATATGCAAAGTTGCCGCTGATTTTACCGTACCTGCATCCTGATTCTGAACATTACTATATCTATGGGATAAATTTTGCATCCGGTGGAGCGGGTGCTCTGATCGAAACTTCTCCTCCAGAATATGTGAGATCACTTTACACTGTATCAGCAACATATATATATATATATATATATAGTCGCGGCTTGATTATGTCATTAAGGAAAATGTAAGAGATCCTTACTTGTCTTTTCTAGGTGTTAGACCTGAAAACCCAGGTGAGCTATTACAAGAATGTGAGCGATGCGTTGAGGAAGAAACTGGGCAGTACAGAAGCTAAGGCCTTATTGTCAAAAGCTGTGCACTTGGTTAGCATGGAGCCAATGACTACGGAGCACGTTTCGTCTCGAATTTAAGTGTGTTTCTCGATATTCTCAACAACAATTCATTGATATTGTGATTGGCAACCTTACGACCGCCATCAGAGTATGTTATCAGTTAACTAAATTTCAGTTTTTTGTTTTTTGTTTTTTTTTTTTTTTGTTTTTGCTTCAATACTTCTTACTTTGTCCTCATCATTCTAAAACTTCATGGTAACGTTCATTTCAGGAGATTCATGCCACAGGTGGAAGGAAATTTGGGTTTGTTAATGTGGGTCCTGCGGGTTGTTCTCCTGTAGCGAAAATACTTCTGAATGGAAATGAAGGTGCTTGCAATGAAAAACTGTTAGAAGTTGCGAGGATACACAATGATGAACTCTCGACAGTGCTTCTGAAGCTGCAGAAACAGCTCGAGGGATTCAAATATTCTGTCTTCGATTTCTACGATTCGGCTCTTCAAATGATGAAATACCCTTCAAAATACGGTATGCCTTGAAACTGTTTGTGAAAATTACTCTTAGAAAGCCTTTGCTGCACTATTATGTCTATCTTAAATATCACGGGAAGGGACGTAAAATATAGGCGTCCAGTCCATTTCTAAAGCAAACTTGTTCTCTGTTCAAATCATAATATGTAAATGAATCTCTTCAGAAGATTGAATTTGTGGTACTAAGATATTAAAAATTCTCCATATCATGGAAACCAAAAGCGGATACTTAAAATGTTGCATCTAAGAGGTTGCTTCTTTTATCAAGAGTTGAGAAAGCTCAAAAGGGATGTGTAGTTATCCTATTGCACCACACTAGTATATCAAATAGAGACATGTAAAGGGCTTAAAAGGTCAAGAAAATGGTGCTTCAAATGCTTTAGTTGTTGGCATATTCCGACCAATTTGCTGATCTCTGGTTTGTTGAAAGGTTTCAAAGAAGCGAGTGTGGCTTGTTGTGGGGGTGGCCCTTACAGAGGAGATCGTAGCTGTGGAGGCAAGCGAGGGATAAAGAAACACAAGTTATGTAAGAATGCGAGTGAATATTTGTTCTTCGATTCTGCTCACCCTACAGATAAGGCTAATCAACTTTTCTCTCAGCTGATGTGGAGTGGAAATCTCAGAGTCAACAAACCTTACAATTTAAGACAGCTATTTGGATTTTGAATCAACAGAACACCAGAAGTTTCCTGGCACTGAGTTTGCCAATCACATAAATTGCTTCTATGCCTCATCTCGGTTCAAGAATTGCATGAAATAAATTCCAGTTTTCTAGGCCTTCAACTCGATCTGTGTATTCTTCCTCTGTCTATTCTCATTCTGCAGAAACTAGACGTCATCTGGCAAGTTTTTTGGATGTCCCATGAAACACAATCACGAATGTCAAGGCAATTTAGCACCATATGAAACTAGATAAGTTTGCTGAGATGCTCTAGAATAGAGTAAAATTTCATTAACTTTTCTATGGATATATGCCCAAATTAACAATGGACAGCTAAACAAAATTTAAAATTAATTCTCATAACTGACATTTTAATCCAAAGATAACCGAGATACTGTCAGGAATGTGGGAAGAAATTTAGAGGCCCAAGGCAAATTTTTTAGCAAAGTCTAGCATGTATAATTGTCCTTTTCAGATACAAAAAAAAAATAATAAATCCATTATTATAAATCAATATAGAAAGATAAAAAATTAAATTAAAAGCGCGAAGGTAAAATAGAGTTTGAGCAAAATGCTACAATGTAATTTTTTTTAATAAAATAATATAATATAAATTAATATATCATAAATCTCATTACTTTTTTTCAAGTAAATAATGGGCTTAACCCAATAATTGAAGTTATATTAGAAATGTTTAAAATTCTTTTCATTTGAAAAAACAAACAATACTTTTTATTTTATTTAACTTATAATTAAATATATAATAATACAAACATTAATTATACACATGATACACACACATTAGGATTTTTTTTTTTAGGCCTATGGCAGTAGCCTCATTTGCCTGGAGGCTTATTTGGCCTTGCACAATGTACAAAACAGAATAATAAATATAAACGTGATACTCATAATTTAATTTAATTAGAAAATTCTCGTCATGAGATTGAAGAGAAACAGTGAGCAAGAGCGAGAGCGAGAAAACTGGTGTGCACAAGGTTCCGACGATCAACGATGGGATGGCCATGGGTGTTGACAGTGGAGGCTTGTCAGAGGAAGAGGAAGATCTTTTGGTTAAGAATATCAAGAAAATGGAGGAGGATGTAGTGATGGTTGACCAGAAAGTGGATAAAGAAGAGTCTCTGAAAGAAGCGGAAAAAACAACTGAAGAACAGAGTTAATCCAGATGCTCAAAACAGCATCCCTAAGGCTAACAGAACGCAGATCTCCTATAAAGAGAAGCTGGTTGGTAAAGAGGAAGGCGAATATCATACTGACTTTGAGAAACAAATGAAAGAATGGCTAGCTGAGCAAGAGGGCATCGCCCATGTCCTAACTAAGGAACAACAGGGCATCATAGATAGTCTCCCCAAGATCAACATGACATACGATAGATTGAGAGAATTGTATTTAGCATGAAAAGACGCTCTTGTTATTACTTTATTTGTGAACCAATGGACCTAAAAATGATGAGAGACGGAATTAAGTAGATGTTGAAGACAGATAAGTTCGAAGTCATTGACCTTGAAAATAACTACTTTGTTTTCAAATCTGAGAATCTAAAACTCTGTAGGAGGCTGCTATTTGAAGGTCGCTGGCTCATTCAAGGACATTATCTTGCGGTTCAGAGATGGAGTCCAAA